AAAAAAAAAAAAAAAAAAAAAAAAAACACCACTTTAAAGGAACTCACCAAGGCTTGTTTCAAGTTCTGATATTGGATTCTCTCAGTATTTGATTCACAAGTAGAAGTCATTTCATGGACCTAATAAAGATATCTCTGGATGTGAGAAGCCTGTAAATTTTTGTACTTTATTCAGTCCTTTTTAGCAGTAAGACTTTTCCACTCAGTCCCTTTAATGTCCAAATTAATTCTGTTTTCTCACTTGGGTGGGCTACATTTATTGGAAAACTTAACGGCTTTTTTTTTTCTTTTATTTATATATTTATGTATTTAGTACAGGGACTAGAGGGTTTCACTGCACAGACCAGACTTGTAGTGACCCTCCTGTTTTCAGCCTCCCAAGGGCTGAGATTACAGGAGCGCGCCACCATGCCCATTCTTCAACACTGTCTCAGCCTGGCCTGGGGGCGGGGCCAGCATGATTGGAATGGAAGCCTGGTCCTTGCACCTGTCTAAGCAGGTGCTTTAGTCCACTGAGCTATTTGGCCAACCCTTTTTCTTTTATTATTAATTTTTAAATTCTCATTAGTACATGTTTGCAGTACATGCTAGATGACTGTCATATTTACCTTATCTGTTGTGCAGTGGCCTCTTGTATCAAATTTCTTCAAAATGTGCCCACTTTCAAAAGAGAATTGTCCCTCTACAACAGGTAGTGTTGTTGAAGCACAAGAAAACCAGTCAGGACTGTTCAAAGTTTAAGGGCACAGACCTGGATTCAAATGCCGTGGCATTTTCCTCAACTTTGAAATGAGGATTCATGAAGTAATAAATGTGAGAAAGTGCTAGGCATATAGTAACACCTCAGGTACAGTTTTATACTCATTAGAATGCTTATTAAACAAAACAATACAGCAGATAACTAGTGAAGGTATTGGAATTCTTGTGCATTATTTGCAATTTCCTTTTTTTAATGCATTGGGTATATGGTACAGGATCTCACTACTCAGCTCAGACTCATAGTGATCCTCCTGTTTTCAGCCTCCCCAGTGCTGAGATTACAGTTGTACACCACCATGCCTGGCCAGGCTCAGCATAACGGGGGGGTGGGGGGGGAGAGGAGGCATGTAGTGCCAGGGATCAAACCCTGGCCCTTGCACTTGCCTAAGCAGGTGCTTGGTCTGCTGAGCTATCTCATAGGCCATTGGAACTCTTGTGTATTATTGGTAGGAATGTAAATTTTTTTTGAGGGGGGGGTGTTGTACTGGGGATTGAACTCAAGATCTTGCACTTGCCAGGCAGGCACTTATGCCACTGAGCTATATCCCTAGCCCAGAAATGTAAATTTTGTAGCCATGTGAAAGTCAGCTTAACAGTTTCTGAAAAAGCTAAGTATAAAATTCACTTATGACATAGCAGTTCTGCTCCCAAGTGTGCACCCAGTCCCTAGTAGCACTGTTCATAATGATAAGAGAGGTGGGAACCACCCAAGTGTCACAACAGGAGTTCTTAAAATGTGGCTTATACACAGTGGAATAGTACTCAGTCCCTGCCTGCACATACACCTAACACCAGTGTGGAGGCCCAAACTCCCAATGTAACAGTCTTGGAAATGGGGCCTTTGGAAACTAGTTGGGTTTAGATGAGGTCATGAGGGATTTATGCCCTAGTGAAAACACCAGAGAGATCTCACAGCCTCTTCAGTGAGGTTATGTCAAGAAGGTGGCCTTTCTTATGCAAGCCACAGAGGAAGTCCCTCAGCAGAAACCAGTCCAAGTTCAGTCACCACAGCCATGATGGAATGAATTCCCACTGTTGAAGCCAGCATGTCTGGATCATCCAAGACACACACACTCTTCCCAGTTCTTCCACATACAGACTGGTCCCTTGTCTCAGCTGCTGCCTCAAATCTCATCTCTCATTTCTCCCCTCTCCTCCCAGTGGAAGGAGTATTCAGAAGAGGAAAGAGTGCTTACATGAATCTTGGTCAGGGAAGTTCTTGAACTAGCACAAGACATGGGCAGCAGGTTGTGAAGCCCTGTAACTAGGGTTTCTACAACAGTGATTTCTTATGTGCACCATCTGTTTTCCTTTGAACATAACAAAAGCGACAGCTTTTCATGTACTGATACTCCCCATGCCTTTTAAAGTCAAACATATGATGCTATTTGTGTGTAAAGGTTTTTCTCTTGCACCCATTTGTTTTTCCAGCTTGAATTTCTATGTAAACTCCCTTGGCTAAATCACACAAGCCACCTACACCTCACCGCCTCCTCCATTCAGAGCAGGGAGTGGAAAGAGTATCTGTGATGTCACATATCTGGTGTGCAGGCCTGAGCCAGGTGGGAAAGATGCCCCACAGCAAGGTGCCACCACCCCACTGTCTGCAGGTCATTGTCAACATGGAACTCTGAAACATGGCCTTCCCATGTTTTTGGCATCCTCTCCTAAATGTGCCTTCCAGTCTCCTCCTCCTCTGTAAACATTGATCACTCCCATTAGCTCTCTTCTCCTCCTTTATCCTAAATTATGTATTAAAGTAAACCTCTTAGTCTTCTTTTTTAAACAACTTAACCAGGCTATAATTTTGAAGTTTACCCATTTTAACTGTAGAGTACAGATCTATTTAGCAAATTCATCAAGTTGTGCAGCCTTCACCCAGTGAAGTTTTAGAGCATTTCTGTCACTGCAGTATGACCCCTCATGCCCTTCAGTAGTTAATTCCCACCACCTGGCACTAACCGATCCCTTTCTGTCTCACTACTTTTTTCAGACTCTGGACATTTCATATAAATGAAGTCATTTAATATATGATCATTGTCATTTAGGCTTTTTTACTCAGTTGAGGTTCATTTGTGTTGTAGCATATATCAGCACTTCTGCCCTGTTCAGAGAATTCTTTCATACTTGTAATTGACAGATCTCACTAATTTTCCCAGCTAGCTTTTCCATGCCTTGTCTCTTCTATCAACACAACTGGTTTTAAATTGTGGTAAAGTATACATAAAATAAAACTTACAATATTAATCATTTTAAGTGACAGTCATTTGTATCACTACATTTCCATTGCTGTGCATCCACCATTACCATCTACCTCAGAACTGTTTTCATCTTCCCAGATAAGAATTCCATACCAGTCAAACAGTAATCCCACTTTCCCTACCCCAGCTCCTGACCACCTTCTGTCTCTGAATTTAACTACTTTAGGCACTGCTTGTGAGTGGAATCTCACACTTTTTGCCCCTTTGTAATGGCATTTTTCACTGAGCCATTTTCATCAGAGTTCATCTGTGTTGCAGCATGTGTAAGATTCTTTTTTTTTTTTTTGTGGTACCAGGGATCAAACTTGGGACCTTGTGCTTGCCAGGCAAGCACTTATTCTACTGAGCTATCTTCCCAGCCCCATGATTCTCCTTTCTAAGGACAACTACTATTTTGTATATATACATATGGCAGTGCTAAGGATGTAGCTCAATGCAAAGGCTTTCAGTTAATATTTATCATTCTAGGGGCTGGTGAAATGGCTCAGTGGTCTGGAGCACCTACTTGGAACAAGCTTAGCAAAGCACAGGGACCGCGGTTCAATCCCCCAGCACCACATGCCAGCCAGGCCCGCCCCCTGGTGGGCTGAGCTGGCCACACACACACACACACACACACACAAATAAACAAATAAATAAAAAATTAAAAAAAATATTTATCATTCTAGGTCCACACATAAAACACAAATTTCCCATCTTACCCCAGCCTAGAAGCTGGCTTCAGGACTTAGGACCTTGTCTTCGAGCAATTCTGGAAGTGCACAACTTTCACACAGCCTCAATCTGCTCCCAGAGCACAGAGGTGTGAAGATCACAGAGAAAGTTGGTCATAAAGGCTGCGCTGGGGGAAATGGCCATTTTGTGCATCGACAACCTCCAACAGGAAATGCATCACTTAAAATACTACATTTTATTTAACCACTCTTCCATCAGTGGACGCTTGGTCTGCTTCCACCTTTTTACTATTGTGAAAAATGCTGCCATAGACATGAGTACCAGTTGAAGCCTCATTGGTCTTACTGGTTTAACTCTGGTGTTACATGGTGCCCTTTTTGTGTTGTTAGATAATTACCAGCTAATCAGATAAGACCTGTCTCTGACTTTATCCAAGACCCCTCTTAGGTGATGCATTTCCTGTTGATCTGAAGTTGTCGATGCACAAAATGGCCATTTCCCTCAGCAAAGCTTTCATGACCAACTTTCACCTCTGTGCTCTGGGAGCAGATTGAGGCTGTGTGAAAGCTGTGCACTTCCTGAATTTTGCTTGAAGACAAGGTCCTAAGTCCTGAAACCAGCCTCTAGGCTGGGGTAAGATGGGAAATTTGTGTTCTATGTGTGGACTTGGAATTGAACTGAAAGCCTTACACTGAGCTACATTCCTAGCACTGCCACCCCTGCCCCCTTTTGAGCCACAGTCTTGCGCAGTTGTCAGGCTAGACTCAAAACATGCCTTGCAGTGCCTGGGTACACCAGGGTTACAGTGTGTGCCATCATGCCTGACTAATTGGGGGGTGTACTTGTTTATTACCTATTTGAGTGTAAGGTAAGTGTGCACTAAGATTGCACAGAAAATGTCAGACACCATAAAGAAGGAAACAGTCTTGGAGCAACCTGATTAGGACTGAATTCCTCTTTGTTTCACAAATATTTATTGAACTCCTACTTGTGGAAAGTACCAAGTGCTTTTGGAAAACAGATGAATAAAAATACTCCCTACTCTTAGGATGTCTTACAGTATAAAATATTGGAGGAACTTCCTCTTACAATCCAAAAACTTTTAGACAAGACTTCATCCATAGCTGTAAAAACATATCACCTTGAGATAAGAAAATCCCAGATGCCATGAGAAGGTGACATTGCTCCAAATTCAAGTCTCAGTATGGCTTTTAGGCAGGGATTTGTGGACTGAAGTCTCAGCGTGAGCACCTGAAATGTGTTTAGTTTTTGCTTTACTTGGGGTAATAGAAAGGTACCAGGGAAACAGAAAGTGCTCTTGCTCTTGACAGTATAAAATTCTTATTATTTTTAGAGAATAGTAACTATGCATTTATGAAATTCTCTGTCAGAGCAATTTAGTTAATAGCTATGTAAATGACTACTTATTTCACTGTGTAGGTGGATCACTCTATGTACACTTTGGAGAAAGAATTTAAGTGCTAGAAACTAGCACTGCAGATGGAAAGAAGCAAAAGTCAAGGCAGGAATGCCAGACCTTTACTGTGTTAGGTGTTCCGAGGAAGCAAAAATGGCCAACTTGTAGTGAGATTTGTTCATTTACCAAGAGCGACTTCTTAGTCACTGATGTGAAGTTCCATGTGAAATATTTTCTTACTACTGGTTATCAAGCATAAAAGATCATTATAAACCCAGTTGGGGTGGGACAAAGAGGTGCTGGAAATTAATCTCACCACTATCTATCCCCATGCAAGGGCCCATCTGGAGACACCTGGGGGGTACTTACAAAAGATTTTTTTTTTTTTTTTTTTTTTTTAGCATAAATGGTGGAGGAGTTAAGCCAGGCTGAGTCTCAGAAGAAGTCAGCATTACCTGTGTTAAATGGGCCCACCTGCCAGAGGGTCTCTGCTCTTCCTTGCCCTGAGTTTAACTGTCCAGTGCATAAGTGTTGCCTTCAGCTACACTTGATTCAAGACAGCCCCATTCTGTGCGGCACTTGGAATCTCAGTTGTCACGCAGATCACATTAAGGTTCCTGGCAGTGGGTCTCAAGCTTTCCTACCTGCCCCAACTCAGAACTTGGTTCCCTCTGGCATCGACTCACTCTCTCTGCATCAGGCTAGCAAGGGAAGCTGCAGAAGCTGGCATTTGTTCCTCCCCAGGGCTCCCTGTCCTCTAGTTCCCTGCTGCAGCTCTCACTCAGCAGCACATCTGGCTCACACAGCAGTTGCTCTTGGCAAGTCCTTCCTGTGCCGTGCATAGCTACTGAGAGTGCAGCCTGGTGGTCAGCCCCGGCCCACCAGCCCCACAGATGCTATGCACCACAAATGCCTCTCCCCTAACATTTGCCTGTGCTCAATTTCTCTTCTGTTTTGTTCTCCCTTAGGTACAAACTGAAGACAGTGTCCTCCTGTTCGTTACTGCCTGGACAGTCACAGAAATTATCCGTTACTCCTTTTATACATTCAGTCTATTAAACCATCTGCCTTACCTCATCAAATGGGCCAGGTAAAAACAGAAAGACTGATGAAATTCTCTATCATTTCATTTGCCCTTTAATGCCTAAATGTTGCTCCCAAGTTTCTCTAAGTAAAGTTATATGAGACAAAAGTTGGATAAGGATCTTCACTTTCATTAAGAGAAACACTGTTAGGAAAACTTTACATTTTATATATTTTTATTGGGATCATTTCTTTTTAACTGAATTTTGCAGTGGAGATTTGATGTAATGTTCCCTTTTTTGTCTGTATCAAATTTTGATAATGAACTTTGCTGTTGTGGTAGGTTTTAAGACCAAGCCCAGTTCTCCTACTCTCAATTTTTCTGAGAAGCTGTGATTCTTAATTTTTTTTAGTTAATAGCAATTGTAATCATAGTTTTAACTTAGCAATTTTATTTTGCTTCAATTATTTTTGCAAGCAATACTTATTATGATGTGGGCAAAACTAATTTATAAGGCAGTTAAGACCAGTTTTCCGAGTTAGAAAATTCCTTTGGAGTGGGGAGGTAAGGACTACAACAAAGTAGAAGAATCAAAATTGTCCATTGAACAAATATACCTCTTTTCATAGAAGGAGAACAGTGGTTACTAGACCCTTTATGAGTTCCATGACTAAGGACATAATTCTGTTATTTCCCACATTTCAAGTATGAGAACTCCTTTTTTTTTTTTTTTTTTTTTGCAATAAACATCCTTGCTAGAAAAGAGGAAGGAGGCAGCTACTAACCAGTGACCGCATAGCCACTTTGACTGCTGTCTAGCCCTATTATAGGGGAGATTGTTGACCAATCCCTAATTTCGCTATTGGAAAAAGATTGTTTTGCCCCTTCTTCTCCATGGACTATTTAAGGTTCTTTTCTCCTGTCAAGAGTATGTCTTCTCTTTGTCTTCATAGATTGCTCAGCATATTCCAGCCTGAAACTCTGAAATACAATCCATGTGTTGTTGTTTGTGGGTATTTTGTTCATTTTGTTTTTTTGAGTTAAGGTCTCACTGTGTAGTTCAGGCTGGCAGCCTTGGACTCATTATGTTCTAGATTGGCCTCAAACTCACAGCAGTTCTCCTGCCTCTACCTCCCGAGTGCTAGGATTACAGGCAAGCGCCACCATACCCAGCTTCATAATTCAAAATTTTGCATATATTTGATTTTTTACAACAGTATGTACAGACATTGAGAAAGTCATGGCCATATGCACGAGTGGTGTGCTTTTTTTTTTTTTTTTTTTTTTTTTTTTTTTTTTTTTTGGTGTGTACAGACCAGACATGGTGTATGTTTTAGGACTTTCTGGTAAAGGATGTTTCAGCACCTTTCTCCTAATGCCTCTCAGTCCCCTAGCCCAGTAGAACCTGGTGCCCTCTCTTGCCAGCATCAGCCATCCGCTTATGAAGAGCTGCCTAATGAACACATAGAGTTTGTCTTAGAACATTCAGAAACATGCACTTCCTCTAGGCTCTTTTCAAAACTGGCTGCAAAGCCTAAATTTCAACAAAGGTAAATGGGAAATGTAGAAACCACCTCTTTCTGAAAAAGGGGAATGAGGGGACGGATGGGCATGGCATCGCACCTCATCATGGGTCTTTTGCTTTGTTTCAGGTATACACTTTTCATCGTGCTATATCCAATGGGCGTGTCGGGAGAGTTGCTCACAATCTATGCAGCTCTGCCCTTTGTCAGGCAGGCTGGCCTATATTCCATCAGTTTACCTAACAAATACAATTTCTCCTTTGACTACTATGCATTCCTAATTCTGATAATGATCTCCTACATTCCACGTAAGTAAATAGTTGTGTGTGTATTTATTTCTGTCTTAAAAATTGGACTCCACAATACCTAAAGTTAAATGTCTTTGATTGTCTTTGCACTGTGTCCAAGTAAATATAAATCTGATTTACTGGGAACACTGGTTTTTATTGAATACTGTCAAAGGGAATTTTCTCTGGTAGTAGTAATTGAATAAAGATGAGCCCTTCTCAGTACAGCTGCCAACATGCAGCCCTTCTCAGTGTGTGGGTTTGAAATACTGAATACCAGGGTAAATTAATCTTATTTGGGGGGGAAAGTACTGAGTAGAAAACAAAAAAGCCATTAAAGGCTTTACCTTGATTTTATTTCCCTGTCTCTTAAAAAATGCTTATTATGGTTTTTGAAAAACATTATAAAAAGATTTTTGTATTGTTTACTGTATCAAAAGAGACAGTTTTACTTCATTTTAAGGGACGAGTAGTTAACTAGAAATAAATAACCAAATAAAAAGATGTTTTTTCCTACACTTCTCATTTTCTTGTTGAGCACTAAGACCTCTGCAAGGACGGAGTGTTCCCTCCAGGATAGTTTCCAGTCTTGTTCCTGGTAGGAAGTGCATGGAGGCTCAGAAATGCTCTGGGCATTCTGAGTGGCAGAGAAGAAAAGGCACGTGTGACCCTCACGTGAACTGAGTCCTGGCCATGAGGGCGGTGTCTCATCAGTGATGTTGATGCTCCTTCTCCTGAAGCTATTTCTGTAGCCACTGTACCTCTGAATCTTATCTTAGACACTGAAGGATGCTGGCATCTCCCTCGGACCCCATGTTAGGTTCAAATAAGGGTGGGTTTTTCGTTAGTCCCAGCACTGTCTGAATTAATCATCCTAACAGTCATAAGTGACATGTGTTTTGTCCTGCTGTGGAAAATTGCATTTCATGCATTATGAGAAAGAAACTACATCCAGATTTCATGTGAACATTTATTTTGGAGGAATTTTTGGATGTAGTCCTGCTTTTGTGATTCATTTTCTAGTCTTCTTTTTTTTTTCCTTGCATCAAGGTCTCACTATGCAGTTCAGCCTGGCCTGGAACTCACTTTGTAGCCCAGACTGCCCTTAAATTCACAGCAATTCTCCTGCCTCAGCTTCCAGAGTACTGGGACTACAGGCATGCACCACCATGCCTGGCTTATTTTCCAGTCTTTATTCATTATTATTCTCAGCCACCCTTCAGCTGGCTGCGGTGGTGTATGCCTGTCATCCTAGCATTCTGGAGGCTGAGCAGGAGGAGCACAAGTTTGAGCCCAGCCTGGGCAACTGTCTTAGTGAGTTTGAAATTTTTTTTTTAATGTAAAAATAGCTGAGACTGTGAATAGTTCAATGTATGTCTCTCTTACACACACACTTAGAAACACACACATTTTCCCTGAAGTATGATAGCATGGTGGCAAAAGGCCATCTCTTCAGGTGTAATAGGTAGTTGGTGTGCAAACAAAGGCAAATAGGGAAGAATCTAAAACATTTAAGTAATAGAAGTTAATACAGTCTTTCAGCTTTCTAACTTTGTTTCCTTAACATTGAGCTTTCCTATCTGCAGAACCACAAGGACAGTTGCAGTTTTGACACTTGCAGAGCAGTGGGTGTTATCCCAGTGGCCACTACAGGGTTTATTTCTGCTCAGCAAGTTTTGTGTGAATAGGCCATACATGCCAGGTTGGGAAATGGCAGGGAGGAAATCATGAACACAGCTCAGGAACAACAAGGTACTTGTTTGCGTGCTGACAGTAATCTACAGGTTCCAACCTGAGAATTCCTACGGGATTTCCAGTCTGCCTGAGAGTGATGGCACAGGTCTGTAATCCAGCACTTGAAAGGCTAAAGCAGGAAGAAGCTCTTGAGTTCAAGGCCAGTCTAGGTTATATAACAAGACCCTGTTTCAAAAAGAACAGATTTCTGCTTTGTCTGAGAAGGGAGACTTAGTTCCAGGAGCAGCTCCTCTCTGCTCCTGCTCGTCTTTTATGCCCTGGTAGCCAAGCACAGTGCCAAGCCTTTCTGTGGCCCTCCTGGTGTTGTGATGGGGCTGGCCACGCGCTGCAGCCCTCCTTGATGCTAGGATCCCTGGAGGAGAACAGTCATCTCCATACGGTTTTCTTTCTTGGCGTTAAAGGAAACAGGAGAGGGAGCACAGGTCTTGGGGCCACTAGCTTCTAGAGAATAGGATGGGATTCTGCTCGCAAAAGAACTCTGCCTTCTTGGCCATCCTTTCTCCTTCCAGTCTCAGCCCCCTTTTCTTTCTTTTTTTTTTTTTTTTTGGTGGAACCGGGGATTGAACTCAGGCCCTTGCACTTGCCAGGGAAGTGCTTAATCCACTGAGCCATCACCCCAGCCCCTCTCAGCCCCCTTTTCATAAGAGAACTTATTACAGTTTAATACAATCTGTTTAAAAGGCATCTTAACTCCTATAGACCAGGAAAATGGTTGGCTTTCAAGTAAAGACTGAAAGACTCCCTCCAGGTCCCTGACCGCCCAGCCAGGTGCAGGAAGGCAGCCCAGTTCACCTCTCTGCTGCGGCCACCCTCATGTTTGCTGGCACCCTGTGCTCCCGGCCTGCCAGTGGCCCTGGGTGGTTTTAGTACTCAAGTTGTTAATATCAGGACCAGATTGTACTGTTCATCCCAGCCAGCTGCACATTTCCAACTTTCCAGTGTTTTGTAAGAAGAAAATACAGAATTGGGTGAGATTACTATTGACATGCAGTCTTCTTTACCAAATTTGGCTTTCTTTCTACAACTTCATCTTCTGATGGGCAGTTGGCAATACACATGTACTGTATAGGGTAGCCCTTTTCTCTGGTTCTGACTATTACATGTGTAGCTCTAAGTGTGGCCCCTGGAGTGTGTCCAGCTGAGGGTTCCTTAAGTTCCTTGGCAGAGTGCTTCTCCCCCTTCTGCTTGTGCAACATGCACAGTAGGAAGACAGCATAGTATTTGCAGGGCTCAATGGGCATCAAAATCCTGTTTATAGCCCTACTCCCACCCACCAACAGATTGGCAAAACTTGGTAATAGGGATAAGGACAAGAGAAACTAGTTGAGAAACACTAGTGCAGGGCAGGGACTCCAAGAAGCTGGCACTTTCCAGGTGGTCAGGGACCATAACCACACCTGACTTACAAAGAATCTAAGCATTCATCCCAGACAAAGTATTCCCAGTTGCTCCCACTCTCCAGGTATTCCTCTCCTGAAAGAGGGAGTGAGCCGCTCGGATGGCCCCACCCCCGACACACAACTGCCCCGCTTCTGGAATGTGCCCTGAGCTAGGAAATTGGAAGGTTAAATGCTCAGTAGCCTCTTGTCAGGGGCAGACCTGTGTTGTGTCTTCATAGTGCAACCTGATGTGATCAGGTTGTAGCCATACCCCTGAAATTGTAAAGCCGTCATAGTTCAGTTCTGCCTAAACACATGGGGCATTCTGGTGCAGACAGTATCAAGAAGTCACCGCTGAGGCTGCAGAGAATAACCCAAACATCCCTGGCCTCCCCTTACCCTCTTTGCCCTGGTACCAAGGAACTTCTATGGGTTGTAGAGGAATGAACAGGTCACATGTGCCATGATTGAGGCATCTGACCCTGCCGGCAGCCATGGGCCCTAGCCCTTGCTTTGAACTGAAATCACATCCTACTGAATGGCCTCTGGCTAGGTGTGCTTGCTCAGGCCTTCTGAACTAGCTGTGAGGTTGGAGCCATACTCTGTGCATACATTACTCACAGATACAACCAGTGAAAGATACAACCCTGGCACCCTGGACTCACGAAGATTGCCTTTACTAAAGTAAATCTAGCAATGTGACTGGCTCCACATTTTTAAATGATCACAACTAGCATTCTTTATGGCTTTATTGTATCTTTACTTCCAGTTTTTAGATTATAGAGCTTGTCAAATTTTCTGGCTTTCACACCAGAATAATTTTCTCACTACTGAAGTCTATGTATAACCTGGGTCTTCTCCGAAAATACATTCCAGCCTCAAAATAGCTCATGGAGTGATGGTGGTGCCACTCAGTACCCAGAGTCCTCTGTAGTTGATCTGCCAACACCTCTTGTCCTCCTGGAGTACTTAGGGAAGATCATTTAAAAATGTGGCCATGTTGGAATCCATTGAAAAAGGAAGAAACTCTCCAGGCAGAGTTGGGAGTAGGAAGTTGCCTCTCAGAAAATATTAGTTTCTCTCTAAAAAATAAGAGATTAGAGCCCCTAGAAAGAAAGAGGAAGGAAGGAAGAGTATCGTATACCCACAGGGCCACAGAACGATTGCCAGGCTGCCCACTTACCGTAACCTGAGGAAGGACTAGGAGCCCCAGCAGGCCTCAGGGATACTGGTGGCATTTGAGCTTCACACTACAAGATGTTGTAGCACCCCTGGCCCGCTCTGCTGACTGCTGGCTTCCTGCACTGCTTATTTCTAAATATTCCCTAGGAAGATTCTCATTTGAGAGCCAGTGCTATGTGTTTTATGAAATCAGCAAAAACAAGACTACCTAGTACCTAAGCTACTGACTTGCTTGGCATGCGTGCTTTTTCTGCATCCCAGCCTGCCTTTGCTATGTTGTGGCTCAGCACTGTCCCTCAGCTGCACCATCCAATGAGCATCCTTTCTCAGGAGTGCTTTGGGATGCCCCTCCCCCTTGCCACAGCGATGGAGTAGGCCAGACCTGAGGTGAGGAGCCTGGCCCCTGATCTTACTCTATCAGCGACTTGCTGTGAGACCCCAAGCAAGTCATTTACCTTCTCTGGGGCTTGAATTTCTCCTTCTTGCAATAGGAATAATTCCATCACTAGTATTCTTCACTTGGTGGTTATGAAATTAATCAGAATAAACATGAAGAGAATATGAATATTAGCAGGGCTGGGAGTACAGCTCTAGCATGTATGAGGTCCTGAGTTCCATCCCCAGAGCCGCAAAAAGTGGAAGAGTTAATTTGGTGGCATCTTAGTGGTAATGACAACAGCATTTGTTGTAAATCTTCATATCATTTGTCACCTCAGCTAAAGCATGAGAAGCAGAGTCTTTCCGTGTGACCACCCTCCTTACACCCTGCACCTTTTCCCAGTCCTGCTTCCTTAGCTTCCATGGTTGCTGGGGAGACAGTGGTCAGGAAAGTCACCAAGACCACAAGGTCATGTGCCATAAGTAGAATGTACAGTTTTAAATGGTATCTTTAACCAGTTCTTTCTTTTTTTTCCTTTCAGTTTTCCCCCAGTTATACTTCCACATGATACACCAGAGAAGAAAGGTTCTTTCTCGTTCTGAAGAACACAAGAAATTTGAGTAGTTCCTGCTTCTTGCACCATCCCCCCAAACCAAACTTCAATGATCAAAAAATGCTGCAGACTTTTTGAGTTCCCAATACGTTTCATAGAAAATAATTAAGAACTATTTTTAAAATATTAAAAACAGAAAAAAACCAAAATCCAGTGTCACATGGGCTGGGATTTTATAAAAAAAAAAAAAATTTTTTTTTTTTTTTTTTTTTTTTTTTAAAGCTGTTAACATACAGTGTCCTGGCCAGTCCATTTTAGCATGCTCTTTCAACCAGAAGTCCTCAATATTTACAATGGCGCTAGAAAGGGATTTGGCATCTATCTCCTTTTGTGTCCTTCACATATCCCACAGAGAGAGACCTATCCCATGACCAAGTTAGTCTGAGTAAGGAGCTTGTCCCAGCATACGCCCAGCTCACAGCAGAGTTCAGCTTGGTCTGCAGTGTGTCTGGCATTCCCTTCTCACAGTGCTTGACTGCATGCTGGAATCTCTTTGTATTTCTGAAGCGGCAAACTTTGTTCTCTGGAATGCTCTGAAGTTATGGCTGGGATCTAGCCCCTCATATCTAGTGAATGAATTATAAAATGTATATGCCTGTGAAACTTTGGAGGTAGTGCCCGTAAGCAGAAAAAACAAAAAACTAGAACTTTTTGTTTCTTTCCAATTGAGTCTTTTTTGCCTGCCACTGAGGAACATGCTTGAATTTAATCAGTATGTGCATAGTATAAAGAACCTACCTTAACCTAGAGTTTGGCTTTGGCTGTGTTTTGACAGTTCTCTGAGTAGTAAAGCTCAATAGCTGGTAAGTGACAAGTACCTTTCACAGGACTGGTCTCTGAGCACCTCTGAGTAATGTATTTGCCAGTAGTGGTTCTCATTTATGGACTCCAAACCCATGTTGTCACATAGGAGCAGGGAATCTGTTCTTTCAAGTACAAGGAAGCTGTCACTTTTAAAATATCTAGAAAAACATTAAGGAATGGCTTTATACATTTATTTTTTCAAGTTTATTCACTCTTCTGTTTATTTCCCCTGATGATGGCTGTGTGTTCATTCCCACCAAGTGTTAGGAGGCAGTGTGCATTCTGGACGGACAGTCCAGTTAAGGCAGCATCATTGCAGTGTGTTGGAGCAGCCGTGAAATCACCTGGTCCGTGGAACATTGCCTGGCTAACATCGTCTCTTCATGACGCTCAACTGCTCATCTCAGCTGTGCGTGAAAAGCCCCGCAGGAAAGGATCGGATGAAAATGGGGAGCCCAAGTTTAGATGCGTGCTCAGTTGCACAGATGTGCACAGTATCTTCTTTGTGGAACCTTTTTTCCCTGACCTTTAAGACTTTAAAAGTCAGGCTTAATGAGTAATTTAAAATACAATTGTCAATAGCAGAAGAATGTCATAATGAAAAACTAAACTTTTAAAATGCATATTTTCACAGGAACTTGAAAATCTAATCCAAGCAGCTGCATAATTTATTTTTTTTTTAACTTAACATTAAAATTCTGCTTTTTCAAATCAGCACTACTGGGTGCATTGAGATTAGAGTCTTATATTTGATAGACTGGGAGAGACGAGTTTCCATCTTATCCTTTTTATTCTTCCAGAATATCTTTCTATATGAAACAGAATCTTTAGTTATAATAGGCTTACTACTTTATTTGGTTAAGTGTTTTTTAGTTGTTTTTTGGAATTGGAGGTGGGATGAAAAATGTAGGTTTTCCAGGACGAAGGGGCTGCAAGTTTTATTCATGCTTCGTTATTATAATTGGTCACCACTTCTGAAAAAACATCCTGTTGCTAAACAACGTATTGCATCAAGTTGAACTTTGGCAGTGAAAAGGCAGCAAAAAGTGAAAAACTCCCTTTTGAAAAAGTCTCAACCCGAGTATGCTTTTTTACATCAGCATTTAAAATACAGCAGATAAGGGAAGCATGTCACTGTGCCCTTCAGGAACCTTCTCAGTAACTGTTTTTTTTTTTTTTTTTTTTTTTTCCTTCAAGCCCTAACATGAATTAATTTCTCCTTTAAAGCAGTGGTGTTCTGTAAACTGGGAACATCCAACCCCACCGAAAGTTACATCTGATTAGAAAGCATGGGTGTTGAAGGTGACATGCAGTGGAGTTTTGTCAGACGCAGTGGTTCCCCACCACCCACTCAGTGGCGTGTTTCAGGTTCCCCAAGAGCTGCCCGCAGATGGGGCCTTCTCTGAGGTGCTAATCTGCGTCTTGCTGTGCCGCTTGCTGAGGCTGGGACTGCTCATCTCTTCATGTCCCCTCCCTGAGCAAAGGCCCCCTGGAGATGTAATTGAGAAATAAAGCGCTGACCTCCTAGATAAGAGCCTTCCTCAGACCTCAGCAAGGAAGATACAGAGCTAGAAAGGCAGAGGAAGAGATTATACCTGCATTTTTCACATCTTTATTGGTTATTCATGTCTAATAAAAGGCTGGCATTGATGTCCAACCTACAAATTATTTTCAATCCTGAGTTTGTGATAAACCATTAAAAAACATTAAATTCATTACACACACTGCTCCTTTGAAATTTGGGTAAGAAAAAATTAGAAAACCATATATAGAATCATTTTTGTATTTTTTCTATGTTGTGAAAACCAAAATTGTAATTTTATAAGTCTTTGATTCACTAAAATTATATAATTTAAATGTATTTTTTGTATATTTAGAAATAAGGAGTTCAAAGACTGTGCTTAACTTTCTATGCATGCATTTGGAAGCTGTTTCTACTGATAATGTAGTCATGAGTTATATTCATAAAATACTGACCTGTGTTGCATTTCAAAATAAACTGGTGTGTGCTCTGCCTGGACTTGGCCTGAATGCACGGTTGCAGGAATGTGAAAGGGTTTCAGTTTTCCAGCTCTTTCTTAGACAGTTTTTAAATCTATTTCTGCTAATAATGGTTCTTCTATTTAAGGAAAAATAGACAGATTTTAAGGTTTCCAGAAAGTCATTCTTCCCTACCAGTCAGTGTTCAAGTTTACCAAGCCAATGCGATCGGCAGGCTGCCTGCAAAAGGTAATAGGGGCTGAGAAATCCAGGAAGTTGGTCAGCAAAACATTTCAAGCCCTTGTCTTAAAGGGGTGTTTTTGGTTTGGGATGTTTTTAGTGTAATTTTTCTAAGTTGAGTGGAGGCTCTTATGGACCTGAAGTGTGCGTCACACATAAAAGCTAGATGTGGTAAAGTTAAAGTCCCTCATCCTGAGCAACTTCAAGATCCTTCACATCCTAGGACCTGCTTCACACACTCATACCTACGTACGAAGCAGTGGAAGGACTCTGGTTAGGATGGATCCAGCAGTCCCTCCTAGCCCCCCAGCTCTAGAGCATTGGGTCTCTTCTCACAGTGTGAGTGTATGCTGCACACCTGGTCAGTTCACTGGTGTATACAGCAGTACTGTGCTTCCCCTTGAGTCCACTGTGTCCTTCCAAGTTCAGTGTCCCCATGCCCAAATGTGTGGTCTTGTCCCAAAGAGGAATATCTCCATCCTAAAGGCTGCTGGAATGTTCTCAGCACAGCAGTTAGACCACCATCTTCTCTAGCATCCACTCTGTCTCAAGGAGGGCTATTCATTATGAAAAGATACTATCATAAATGAAACGGAGGCATGGATAGTGAAATCCATAGTCAGAGCTACCCAGAAAATGCAACCTTTACAATCTTAGGGTGCTAATGGGAAGCCAAGGCTTTCCGATTTATCATTATCCTGTGTTGTGGCAGTTATGTGTACTTGTTACCATAAGCCTTAGCCTGGAGGAATTACTATTGGTATAATTAAGAGACTTACTGTTACAACATTCCGAAAATACTGCTGTGTTGTTCTGTTCCCTTTAACAAGAATGAAAACTAGCTTTGCAATTCATTTTTTTTAAAAATCCCAACCTCACAAATAGCCTGGCTCATTGTCATACTGTTTAGTGGTGAAGAAACTGTTCTAAGCAACTATTACCAAAAATAGCCATACCTATTAACATTCCCTGCCTGTAACCCAGAGCAAAGTTGGAAAGAGCTGGGCAGGGTTTTTACTAACTCTTAAGCAAAATGTGAGGGACTATAAAGATTTTTGCCCTCTGAATGGGCTGGGGCGTCACTTGCCTAGCGTGCATGAAGGTCTGGGTTCTGTCCTCAGTACCACAAAAATCACTAGAGAAAGGTCTGAGTGTCCTCTCACAGGGGCTGGCATATGTAAGGCCCTGGTTCAACCGCCATATCACAAAATTTTAGTCTCATGAGCAAAAATTAAAGTGTGAGAGACTGTTTAAGCACTTAGTGTCCATTGCAGAAATCCTTTTATGCTAAGAATCACATTTTCTGTTCGGTGATTCCCAAGCACAGACACCTAGGAGGGTAGCACTTCACACCTTGTTTGCTCAGGCTTGGGTGTGTAAGAGCCAGGGCCTGTCCGAGGTTAAAGCGTGGCGCCATTTCCACCTCCGCGTTGTTGTAGCCGGCCTCTGCCGCTAGGGGGCAGCACCTCCCAAGCGATCTGGGCTTCAAGAGCCAAAGGACTTGGCAAAACAATTTCAGCCCAAAGATGCAGGGGCAGAAAGGAGCACTAATGAAAATTAGTCACGCATCTTCATTGTCCATATAAAGCAAAGACAAGTTTTCGGGCACATTCTGGACGAGTACAGGAAATAACACTTTTTAGAGCAAAGAACTCAGCTTGGGTGTGTGCTTTGAGGCTTCCTTTTTTCCGGTTGCAGTGCCCTCATGGTGATCCTCACCGCCGAGTGGTTTGAAAAGCTAGCAGCTTGGGAGCTGACTTCCGAAGCAGGTGTTAGGCCTCCTCTTTAGAGCACAGCCTGCTTGTTAATATTTGAAATGTCCAGGGAGGTCAGTTCCCACTCTCACTCTGTCTCTGGATATTTTTGGAGGGTAGCCTGGGCCATGAGAAAATGTCAGGCCACCTTATAAGGCTGTGTCTGGCCCCAAGAATGCCTGTCTGCAGCATGTTCCGTACACTCTGGACTTGAATTCACTTGACTCTTGGGCTGTGGGTTTTCTCACAGATTCAAACTGTTTCTCTTCATGCCATAGGTTCTCTAGCAGAGAGCTCTTCCTTGAGGGACAGCTGATTAAATGGTGATTTATAGAACACACCAGCTAGATAACCAGGTCATGTTCATCAACCACAGGACTCTGAGAGACAGCAGGAGTGTGGGTACAATAGGAAGAAAGGGCTGTGGTTTTAAACACAAAATTGGGTTTTTCTCCTAAAAATTTCACTCCCCCCCCCCCCCACTGAGCTACATCGGGGCGGCGGGGTAGTTTTGGTTTTGTTTTTGTTTTTACAGGATCTTTCCAAGTCACTGAATTTCCCAGGCTGGACTGGAACTTGCCATCGTCCGGCCTCTGCCTCCCAGAATGCTGGGAGCATAGGTGTACACCACCACCCTGGGCTTGGTGCAGTCTTTTTGTAATCAAATATAGTTTGAACCTCCAAGAGAGAGAGGAGATGATAGAGAGCCCACACCCATGTATACCAGCCTTTCGTGATACCCACTCCCACCAGCAAATACAGCTCCATCAGAATCTCAAGACTGAACTTGAAGATCACTCTTCCTCCTGCTTGAGGAAGAGCAAAGACAGCTGGGGAGTAAAGAGGGACATTGTAACCCTTCCCAGGAAGCCAGCATCCTTCCTTCCCATCAGCCACCATCTTCCTTGATGTATTGTTTCCTCTTGGTGCCTGCTCTTTCGGTTTTCTCTCACCTGCTCTTTCAGTTTTCTCTGCCTAACTCCTAACTACACATTCTCAATTTGCATGTGGAGTCAGAATCATCCACAGTGCTTAACAATCAGCGTCCTATGCTTTCCACAGACCTACAAAATTGGAAATACTGGAGATAGAGCTTTGGGCTGTTTCAGGAATCTTCATAGAGGCTCCAAGTGCAGGGGCTTAGACAAGTTGCCAAATTATTGTTTGACTAGGCTTTGGTGGCACGTATCTTACCATCCTGGGAGCCTGAGGCAGGAGGACTGCAAGTCTAAGCCCATCCTAGGCAGTTTAGGGATTTAGGGAGACCCTGTCTCAGATGCAAAATCTTAGAATGGACAAAAGTAAGGCAGGAAGCTTTGCTTTAGGGCTCCTGGTCCCAAGAGTTCACTTAGCTCCACTTTTCACTTTAAGCCCAAGGCCCCCAACCAGTGGTCTCCAGAGCAGATCTGACCTATAGACATGCCTTGCCTGGCCCTTGGGTATTTTTTAAAAATTTATTAAATTGTTGCCACTTTTTTTTTTTTTAAGCTGGCTCAGAATGCCTGCAGGGCAAGTTTGGCTGGCTTGAGTTGTGGGGATCGAACCACAGCAACCTGAGCCTGACTGCTTTGTTGAAGCAGCCACTTAAAGAACTGAGCTAAGGGGCAGGCCCCCTGCCACTGTCTTAAAATTGAGATGTCAACCATCTAAGATAAATCAGAAGATGAGACAGTAGGAACCACACTCCCACCTGTTGGGCCTCTGTGGTAACTCAGGAGGGCCACACACATCGAATCGAGTGTTTGAGAAGGAGCCATGTGAGGCCCAGCGTATCTGTTCAGGCACAGAGGCAGAGCTGGACCTGAAGCACAGGCTTCCAAGCTTGGTGCTGTCCCAGGCTGAGAACTCGGCCTCTATGTGAAGCCCATGTCCACTGGGGCCTCCTTCTGTCTCCACATTGAGCCATAAGCACCTGGGCCCAGCCCATCCTCAGTGAAATTCCATCCTCTCTTCCCCTCCTGGCCTGAGCCCCACTCCTTCCTCTGCACTCTGTCCTCAGCTCTGCCAACCCCCTCCACCAGTCTGTCACTCCAATAGCCCTCTTCTGGCCCCCATTGCATTGCAGATAACTCACTGAACACTGTGGAGTCCCCTCCCAAGGACTGGCTCTACTTCTCCCCTTCACTGGCTCCCCTTTTGCCCAAGCCACGTCTCAGGCAGGAAGGCAGCAGCCTCCTCCCAGCCTCCCAGCCTCCCAGCCTCCAGGCCACGGCTCTGCCCCACCAGTCTCTGGCAGCCACAGCCAACTTTCACTGCAGGCAGTGTCAGCTGCTCCTGTTCCCATACTCCAGTGACTCTGCTGCTCTTGGGGTAAAGCCCAGATCACTGAACGCGACCCAGGGACCTTCCTTGTATCTGCTCAAGGCTCGGCCCTTCCACTGTTCCTGCTCCACAAGCCCAGCAGGTGCTCAGGCCCTTGCTTCTCCCCTCCCAGCTTTTGCCACTGGCAATTCTTTTCCTGTCTTCAGCATGGCTGTGGCCTTGACCCAGTGAACTACCTGCCTGTCCCAGGTCTGAGACAGGCCCTGGTATTCCTCCTAGATGCCCCCACAGTGCCAGGGTTGCCAAGGAAAAGCAATAAACAGGAAAGCCAGTTATATTCAAACTGCTGATAAATAGTGAAGAATGTGCAGACTTGTCTCCCGAGGCATTTAGGATTGACTAGATTATTCTGGGACCACACCTGTGTCTACCACCACACTCCTCATTGCCAGCCTTCCTCGCCCATCTGCAGGGTCGCACTGAGCTCCTGAGGGAGAACTTCTGCAGATGG